TACATCGAAAATCCCAAAATCTAAACTTTTCATTAATTCCAAAAATCCTAGTCTCAAAATTCTAAAAGGTCTAAAAATCTCCATTAATATGCATTGCTGATTCGAAAATTTCAAATTCTCAAAATATTAAAAATCCTAAGGTCTAAAATTCCCAATATTTTAAAAACTCCAAATTCGTATTAAAGATTCAAAAAATTCCCAAAATTTCGAAAGTCCCAATGTTTAAAATTTAGATTCTAGAAATTTCAAAAATCAAGAAATTAAATCTGAAATTTCAATTTTCAAAGAACCCAAATTCATAAAATTTTCAGATATCACAAGATCTCATAAGCCCAAAATTTCAAATTCCCTTACTTTAAACAATCCCAAAACCTACTTCCGGAAATTTAAAAATCCCAAATCTCAAGTTACTAAAATTTCAAATATCCCAAAATATTAAAAATTCTGATCTGAAATTCTTGGAAATTCCCAATATTTTAAAAAATCCAAATATGTATTAAAGATTAACAAATCTCAAAATTTCAAAAATTCCATCTAAATCCCAAAAGTTCAAATTCCCTAGTTTTTCAAATTAACCAAATAACCTAAAAAATCTAAAATTTCCAAAATGTCAAGATGCCAAAATCTCAAATTACCAATTCCTAACATCAAAAATTCCCAAAATTTGAAAAATTCCAAATCATAAAAACGCGAATAAGTACCCACAATTAAAATATCTCATACCCATACTCATTTGAAATTCAATCTCCAAAAATACGAATTTTAAAAAATGACAAAATCCAATTCCCCAATTTTCAAAAATCATAAATAGCAGGTTCCCAAAAATTCAAAAATTTTAGAAATACGAAACCAAATTTCAGAAACCCTAGTCTAAAATCCCCAACATTTCAAATTCCTAAAAGTTAAAAAAATCACACATTCCCAAAATTAATCCTGAAATCTCTAAATTTCCCTAAATTTCCCTTACTTTAAACAATCCCAAAACCCACTTCCGGAAATTTCAAAAATCCCAAATCTCAAGTTCCTAAAATTTCAAATATCCCAAAGTATTAAAAATCCCCAACATTTCAAATTCCTAAAAGTTTAAAAAATCACAAATTCACAAAATTTCAATAATCTAAAATTTGCAAAATTCAAAAAATCCCAAAATCTACAATTCCTAAAATTTCCAATTTTAAACATCCCAAGGTGTCAAATTCCCAAAATTACATTACATTACAAATCCATGCCCGAACCCGGTTTCGAACCAGGGACTCGGTGAGCCAGCGAAGCCATCGGCACCGCAGAAATTGTAGTTAAACACATGGCGAGACGAGGTTGCACTGCCGTCGAAATTACGTGTCAAAATTTCAAAAATTACAATATCTCATACGCCCAAGGTACCGAAATTTCTAAACTATCTCATAATACTCAAGATGTTCAAAAATCTCTAAATGTAATTCTCGAAATTTCACATTCACATTTCAAAAATCCCAAAATCTGGACTTCCCAATACATATATCGAAAATCCCCTAATCTCAAATTTTCAAAATTTAGAAAATTTCAAATTGTCTCGAGAATTCTAAAGCCAACATTCTAAAAATCCGAATTTTAAAAAGATTCCAAAATCTCAAATTCCCGACATTTCAAAAATCCCAAAGTTTAAAATTTAAGTAATTCCCAAAATTTCAAAAATCCCAAAATCTCAAATTTCAAAAATTAATTTTGAAACCTCAATTTCTCAGATCCTAAATTCCCAAAATCCAAATTCTCAGAAATCTCACATACCCAACATTTAAAAAATCCCAAAATTAATTTTGATACCTCTAAATTTCAAAGATCCTAAATTCCCAAAATCTGAAATTCTCAGAAATCTCACATACCTACCCTAAATTATCAAAATCCCAAATCTCAAATTCCTAAAATTTCAAAAATCCCATGACCTCTACATCCCAAAATTGTCTATTTCCTAATTTAAAAAAATTCCTAAATCTAACTCCCGAAATTTCAAAAATCCCAAATTCAATTACGCTCGAATTGTCATCTCGAGAATTCTAAAATCTCAAAAATCCGAAAGTCTAAAATTTCCAACACTAAAAATTCCAAATAAAAAAAACTTCAAAATCTCAAATTCTCATAAATCACAAAATCTCAAATATCCAACCTTTGAAAAATCCAAAAGTCCAAAATTTCAAATTCCCTTACTTTAAAAAATCCCAAAATCTAATCCCCGAAATTCAAAAAATTACAAATCTCCAATTCCTAAAGTCTCAAAATCCCATGATCTTAATGTCCCAAAATTGTCAATTCCCTAATTTTAAAAATCCCCAATCTAATTCTCGAAATTTCAAAAATCCCAAATTCACAAAATTTCAAAATTTAAAATTTTCAATACTCCCAAAATCTCAAAAATCCCAGTCTAAAATTCTCAATATTTCAATATTTTAGAATACTCCAAGATTCACTAACCCCTAAAATTCTCAACATTTCAAAAATCCCCTAAGTTCAAATTCCCTAATTTTTAAAATTACCAACTTTAAAAACCCTAAAATATACAAATCCTAAATTAAAAAATTCTCAACATTTGAAAAATCCTAAAATCTCAGATTCAAAATCATAAAATCGCAAATAAGTACCCACAATTTTAAAAAAAAACCAAGATTTGAAATTCAATCTTAAAAAATCACAAAATCTAATTCCCGAATTTTCAAAAACCACTAATATCAAGTTGCCAAAAATGCGAAAATTTCAAAAATCCGAAACTTCCAAATTTCAGAAACCCTAGTCTACAATTCCCAAGATTCACACTCCTCTTAATTCTTAAATTTTCAAAAATCCCAAGACCTCAGTCTAAATTGAGAGAGAGGGAGCGAGTGATGGAGTGTGGAAGTGAGTGGTGAGTGAAAGACAGAGAAGAAGTTTAAAATTTAGATTCCCAAAATTTAAAAAATCCCAAAATCTCAAATTTCAAAAATTAATTTTGAAACCTCTAAATTTCAAAGATCCTAAATTCCCAAAATCTCACATTCTCAGAAATCTCACATACCTACCCTAAATTATCAAAATCACAAGATCTCATAAGCCGAAAATTTCATATTCCCTTACATTAAACAATCCCAAACCCCACTTCAGGAAATTTCAAAAATCCCAAATCTCACATTCCTAAAATTGCAAAAATCCCATGATCTCAATATCCCAAAATTGTCAATTACCAAATTTTAAAAAAATCCTAAATGTAATTCCCGAAATTTCAAAAATCCCAAATTCTCAAAATTTCAAAATCTAATAAGCTCGAATTGTCATCTCGAGAATTCTAAAATCTCAAAAATCCGAAAGTCTAAAATTTCCAACAAATCCAAATTCCAAATGAAAAACTCAAAAATCTCAAATTTCCAAAATTTCAAAGATCCTACATTCCCAAAATCTCAAATTCTCATAAATCACAAAATCTCAAATATCCAACATTTGAAAAATCCAAAAGTCAAACATTTCAAATTCCCTTTAAAAAATCCCAAAATCTAATCCCCGAAATTCAAAAAATCCAAATCTCAAATTCCTAAAGTCTCAAAATCCCATGATCTTAATGTCCCAAAATTGTCAATTCCTTAATTTTAAAAATTCTTAAATCTAATTCCAGAAAATTTCAAAAATCCCAAGTTCACAAAATTTCAAAATCTAATAAGTTCGACTTGTCATCTCGAGGATTCTAAAATCTCAAAAATCCGAAAGTCTAAAATTTCCAACACTAAAAATTCCAAATAAAAAAAACTTAAAAATCTCAAATTCCCAAAATCTCAAATTCTCCCTATAATTCTGGAACCTCTAAATTTCACCTGCATTCCCAAAATCTCAAATTCTCATAAATCACAAAATCTCAAATATCCAACATTTGAAAAATCCAAAGTCCAAAATTTCAAATTCCCTTACTTTAAAAAAATGCCAAAATCTAATCCCCGAAATTCAAAAAATTCCAAATCTCAAATTCCTAAAGTCTTAAAATCCCATGATCTTCCAAAATTGTCAATTCCCTAATTTTAAAAATCGCCAATCTAATTTTCGAAATTTCAAAAATCCCAAATTCTCAAAATTTGAAGATCTAACATTTTCAAAACTCCCAAAAGCTCAAAATGTCAAAAATCCTAAAGTCTGAAATTCGCAATATTTCAATATTTTAGCAAACTTCAAGATTCACAAACCCTTAAAATTCTCACCATTTCAAAAATTCCCTGATTTTTAAATTACCAACTTTAAAAATCCTAAAATATGCAAATCCTAAAATTAAAAATTATCAACATTTGAACAATCCTAAAATCTCAGATTCTCGATCATAAAATCGCAAATACCCACAATTTAAAAAAAACCCAAGATTTGAAATTCCATCTTAAAAAAACACAAAATCTAATTCCCAAATTTTCAAAAACCACAAATGACTTTTGGTACGGGGTTGTTTGAATCGCTTGGAAGATTCCTTCACTTCAATTCAGCCCGGGAAATTTTTGCTGGATTCAATAAAGTTTTACCTTGGCCCCTAGGTTGTGCCTTGTAGATTATTTGTACCCTTCTAGGATGTCCGAGTGCTGAGATCTAAATCCATTAGACGGACGGACGGAATATAAGTAGACACAGGATATCTGCTTTGATTGACCCCCGTTAGACATTTCCTTTGAATAAATATATCAAAGCAAACAAATGAAATTCCTCCGCTATCGTTTAACCTCCACCTTATGTAAATAAACGGCGGGCGAATTTTTTTCGGTGACTCACCGGCGGATGTCTATTTTGTGTACGAAATATGACATAACTGGCATAAATCAAAGAGCGTTGTGCGACGCTCCCGTGTTTACGCTCGCTAAAAAAAGATATCCGCCGCGATTGGTTCATTGATCCGCAATGTCGCCATCATCACCCAATTGCTTTCCAAATTAGAACAATACCAAGCTTACTTAACGTAAGCTCCCGCGCCATTACTCAATTCCACAATTACAAGGAAGTGCCGTGAAACGCGTTATTTAAAATTCATAGCGTAACCGGAAGTACTACGTACGCACCGCACTTCCGCGCCAGATTAAAAATGCTCTCGCATTGTCCGAGAGTTTCTCAGGGAAACCACTTACCGTCGTCGTCTTGTTGAATCTTTGGCTGCCCGAGCGTCGCAGCGTGCCGCTCCGGATGTTCGCGTCGTCCAGTATAATTTCGCGACCGTCGCATCCCGATCGTCTGCTAAGCTCGCTTAATTCGGCGACGGGCTGCACCTGCAACGAGGAATCAGGTTAACTAAATTTCATGAATTTCTGTGATCCTGATACAATTTTGTAAAGGAAACTTTTATCATGGAAACGAAAGCTTGTGTCTATCCGATTCTGATAACAATTTTGAAAGAGAAACTTGGGACAGAATCACATCATTTGTGAGGGATGTCCCCTATTAAAATTTCTGTGATCCTGATACCGTTTTTAAAAGAAATGTTTATCGGGACCACGAAAGCATATCCATATACTAACAATTTCAAAAGGGGAACTTTGGATAGACGAATCTAATTCGTAAAAGGAGTCTCCTAATAAATGTTATAAGTTTCTGTCATCCTGATACAATTTTTAAAAGGAATTTTTATGATGAAGCGAAAGCTAGGGTCCTTCCGACTCTGATACTAATTTTAAAAGAGAAATTTAGGACAAAAAGGCATAATTTATTAGGGGTGTCTCCTATTAAATTTCTCAAGTTTCTGTGATCCTGATACCGTTTTATAAAAGAAATTTTTGTCAGAGCCACGAAAGCATATGATTCTGATAAAATTTTTAAAAGAAAACTTGAGACAGGCGGATCTAATTTGTGAGTGGTGTCGCCTATTAAATTTCATAAGTTTCTGTGATCCTGATACAATGTTTTAAAGGACATCTTGATCCGGAAACAAAAGTATGTGTATAAAATTCTCAAAAGAGAAACTGGAACATATGGATCTGATTGTGAGAGGTGTCCCCTGTTAAATTTCATTAGTTTCTGTGATCCTGATACAATTTTGGAAAGGAATTTTTTATGATGAAAACGAAAGCTTGTGTCCGTCTGATTCTGATGAAATTTTAGAAGAGAAACATGGGACAGAGAGACCTATTTTCTGACGGGTGTCTCCGAGGGTGTCTCCTACTCAATTTCATAAGTTTCTGTCATCCTAATACATGACATTTTTATCAGGAGAACAAAAGTTTCTCAAAAGAGAAAGAGGGCAGAAGTATATAATTTGTGTGAGGTGTCTCCTATTAAATTTCACAAATTTCTGTGATCCTGATAAAAAAATTTTAAAGGAAATGTGGGTGTATCCCATTAAATTTCACAAGTTTCTGTGGTCCTGGTACAATTCTTTAAAGGAAAACCAAAGGTATGTGTATAAAATTATCAAAAGCGAAACTGGGACATATAATGGATCTGATTGTGTGAGTGGTGTCCCCTATTAAATTTCTTCAAGTTTCTGTGATCCTGATACAATATTGAAAAGGAATTTTTTATGATGAAAACGAAAACTTGTGTCCGTCTGATTCTGATAAAATTTTAAAAGAGAAACTTGGGACAAAAAGGCCTAATTTGTGAAGGATATCGCCTATTAAATTTCATACGTTTCTGTGACCCTGATACAATGTTTTAAAGGAAATCTTTATCCGGAAAACAAAAGTATGTGTATAAAATTCTCATAAGGGAAACTGGGGCATATAGATCTGATTGTGAAAGGTGCCCCCTATTAAATTTCTTAAGTTTCTGATCCTGATACAATTTTGAAAAAGAATTTTTATGATGGAAACGAAAGCTTGTATGTCTGATTCTCATGAAATTTTAAAAGAGAAACCGAGAGACCCAATTTCTGAGGGGTGTCTCCTATTAAATTTCATAAATTTCTGTGATCCAAATACATGACTTTTTTGATCAGAACAAAATTATGAGCATGAAATTCTCAAAAGAGAAACTTAGGGCAGAAGAATCGAATTTGTATGAAGTTTGTCCTATTAAATTACATAAGTTTCTGTGATCCTGATACAATTTTGAAATGGAATTTTTTATGATAGGAACGAAAGCTTGTATCCGTCTGATTCTGATAAAATTTTACAGAGAAACTTGAAACAGAAAAGCATAGTTTGTGAGGGGTGTCTTCTAATAAATTTTATACGTTGCTGTGATTCTGACACAATGTCTTAAAGGAAATCTTTATCACGAAAATAAAAGTATATGTATAAATTTCTCAAAAGAGAAACTTAGGGCAGAAGAACCTAATTTGTGCAAAGTGTTTCTTATTAAATTTTGCAAGTTTCTGTGACCCTGGTACCGTTTTTACGAGCGTTTTTTTAAGAAATTTTTATCAGGACCACGAAAGCATATCACTCTGATAAAATTTTCATAAGAGGAACTTGGGACAGACAAATCTAATTTGAGAAGTGCCCCCTAATAAATTTATAAATTTCTGTGATCCTGGTACCGTTTTTTTTTTTAATTTTAATCAGGACCACGAAAGCAAATCAATCTGATAAAATTATCAAAAGAGGAACTCGGGACAGGCGAATCTAATTTGTGAGAGATGTCCCCTAATATATTTCATAAGTTTCTGTGATCCTGATACAGTTTTGGAAAAGAATTTTTTATGATGAAAACGCAAGCTGGTATCCATCTGATTCTGATGAAATTTTATAAGAGAAACTTTGGGAAAGCATGTGGTGTATAAAATTCTTATAAGAGAAACTTAAGGCAGAAAAATCCAATTTGTGAAAAGTGTTTTCTATTAAATTTCATGTTTCTGTGGTCCTAATACAATGTTTTAAAGGAAAGCTTTATCCGGAAAACAAAAGTATGTGTACAAAATTCTCATAAGAGAAACTTATGGCAGAAGAATCTAATTTTTGAAAAGTGTCTCCTCTATTCAATTTCATGTTTCTGTGTTCCTGATACAATTTTGGAAAGGAATTTTTTATGATGAAAACGAAAGCTTGTATCCGTCTGATTCTGATGACATTTTAAAAGAGAGACCTAATTTCTGAGGGGTGTCTCCTATTAAATTTCATACGTTTCTTTGATCCTGATACAATGTTTCAAAGGAAATCTTTATCCGAAAACAAAAGTATGTGTATAAAATTCTCAAAACAGAAACTGGGACATATGGATCTGATTGTGAGAGATGTCCCCTATTGAATTTCCTATGTTTCTGTGATCCTGATACAATTTTGAAAATGAATTTTTTATGATAAACACGAAAGCTTGTATTCGTCTGATTCTAATAAAATTTAGAGAAACTTGGGACAGAACGACCTAATTTGTGAGAAATGTCTCCTATTAAATTTCATCCGTTTCTGTGATCCTGACACAATATTTTAAAGGAAAGCTTTATTCGGAAAACAAAAGTGTGTGTATAACATTCTCAAAAGAGAAACGTAGGGCAGAAGAATCTAATTTGTGTGACGTGTCTCCTATTAAATTTCTGTGATCCTGATAATAATGTTTTAAAGGAAATGTGGGCGTCCCATTAAATTTCTGGTACGATGCTTTAAAGGAAATTTTTATCAGAAAGAAAACCAAAGGTATGTGTATAAAATTCTCAAAATAGAAACTGGGACATATGGATCTGATTGTGAGAGGTGTCCCCTATTCAATTTCCTATGTTTCTGTGATCCTGATACAATTTTGGAAAGGAATTTTTTATGATGGAAACGAAAGCTTGTATCCGTCTGATTCTAATAAGATTTTTAAAAGGGAAACTTGGGACAGAAAAGCCTAATTTGTGAGGGATGTCTCCTATTAAATTTCATACGTTTCTTTGATCCTGGTACAATGCTTTAAAGGAAATTTTTATCAGGAAGAAAACCAAAGGTATGTGTATAAAATTCTTGAAAGAGAAACAGGGACACATGAATCAGATTATTATTAATTATTAAATTTCATAAGTTTCTGTGATTCTGATACAATTTTGAAATGGAATTTTTTATGATGGAAACGAAAGCTTGTATCCGTCTGATTCTAATAAGATTTTTAAAAGGGAAACTTGGGACAGAAAAGCCTAATTTGTGAGGGATGTCTCCTATTAAATTTCATACGTTTCTTTGATCCTGGTACAATGCTTTAAAGGAAATTTTTATCAGGAAGAAAACCAAAGGTATGTGTATAAAATTCTTGAAAGAGAAACTTAAGGCAGCAGAATCTAATTTGTGGGAGGTGTCCCCTATTAAATTTCTTAAGTTTCTGTGATCCTGATACAATTTTGAAAGGGAATTTTTTTATGATGGAAACGAAAGCTTGTATCCGTATGATTCCAATATCATTTTTAAAAGCGAACCTTGGGACAGAAAGGTCTAATTTGTGAGGGATGTCTCCTATTAAATTTCATACGTTTCTGTGACCCTGATACAATGTTTTAAAGGAAATCTTTATCCGGAAAACAAAAGTGTGTGTATAAAATTCTCGTAAGAGAAACTTAGGGCAGAAGAATCTAATTTCTGAAAAGTGTCTCCTATTAAATTTCATGTTTTTGTGACCCTGATACAATTTTGGAAAGGAATTTCTTATGATTAAAACGGAAGCTTGTATCCGTCTGATGGAATTTTAAAAGAGAAGCTTGGGACAGAGAGACCTAATTTCTGAGGGGTGTCTCCTATTAAATTTCATAAGTTTCTGTAATCCTAATACATGCCATTTTTATCAGGAGAACAAAAATATGAGTATAAAATTTTCAAAAGAGAAGCTTAAGGCAGAAGAACCTAATTTGTGTGAGGTGTCTTCTATTAAATTTCACAAATTTCTGTGATCCTAGTAAAAAAATGTTTAAGGAAATGCGTGTCTCCTATTAAATTTCACAAGTTTCTGTGATCCTGGTACAATGTTTTACCGGAAATTTTTATCAGGAAGAAAACCAAAGGTAACTATGTGTATAAAATTCTCAAAAGAGAAACTGGGATATATGGATCTGATTGTGAGAGGTATTAAATTTTTTAAGTTTCTGTGATCCTGATACAATTTTGAAAAGGATTTTTTTATTATGGGAACGAAAGCTTGTATCCGTCTGATTCTAATGCAATTTTTAAACTTTTAAACAAAGAGACCTAATTTCTGAAGGGTGCATGCAAAAGTAATAAGTTTTATAATGAGCGCCGAGCCGCTCGGCACTGGTTGCTTTACTAATTTTCTCAAAAGTGTAGGATTTTCTAATTATTTATTTATTATTTATTGTTTATTATTTATTCACACAATCTGCCTCCAAGTAGCTCAAAAATTCGAATGAGAATAT